AGCAAACTAAGGTCAAATGGTTCATTTCAGCACAAGCAAACGTGTATCAGCGGACTAACAGTCCACTAGTTCACCGCGAGCAAGCTTTTTGATGAGCAAGAGAAAACGTTGTTCGTTGTTCGTTGTGTCGAAATTCACGAAGGATTACCAAGCACTCGCAAAGCGACACCGTTTCATGAGTTCAATGTTAATTAAGTACAAGTTTAAAGGAATTAAAAACAGAAAAGAAATATTAAAGGCAGTGTTGCGTTGTCTAGAAATACCGAATTTTTTTTAGAAAAGCGCAATATCCCGAAAAGGTCGGAAATGGCTCTAATTTAGCAAACTAAGTTTTTAGATGTATAGGATTATTCTCATATCAAAAACGTTGTAAGTATGAAGTAGAAATAAAATAACGTCTAATAATGGTGTTTCTGTGAGGTTTACATCTAATTGTCCTTAAATAATTAGTTTGATTTCATATACGACGGTTTGTTAACTGCCTGTATTCTGAGTGTAGATTCCAAAACAGTTTTCCAGGGTTTCGTGTTATCCTTGACTATTTTGAGTTAAATGAGATGGTGTTCAACAAGAGAAACTGGATTTCGCTAGATTTCACCGATGGGGACATCGTAACAACAAATGGCATCATAAGGTGACATGCCATGAGGCCAGTCGAGGCCTATAAAATTTAAATAGAACTGGCAGGCGTGATCGTAATCATACCATTTTGTGTTAACAGAGAGAACGTTTCTACCATCAAATTTATCTACACTTTTCGTTCGTACATGGACATTCGTAAACAAAATAGTACATTAGAGCACTTCTTTAAGATGATAAGGTATAAGTTTCGCAATTGATTTAAAACCTATTCACCACAGATCTTTGTTATGGAAATTTATTTACTGTTGGCGATGAGGATTCGTGTTTGAGCAGTCTGCAAATATGATCGAGAGGTGCCATTTACATGAAAGGTTAGGTCGAGAACTCACTACTGCGGTATATCCTTTCAAGAAATGTTATATTTTGTAGGGTTTGAGTTGATCGCGGATGACTGTTCTCTGTGGTTAAAGGGTGTGCGCCGATCGCGATACAGAACTCACTCGTCCCGTTGTGCTTTACGGGATCTCTCTTTTCCGAGCCCAACCTGCAGCCACACAGCGACGCGTACTATGGGCAGAACGACACTGCCGACAAATACAGAGGAGGTCGGAATAACCAGTTGTGGCATATTAGGCGTTGTCAGTCAGTCATATCCAACCCCGAAATGTGGAACGCATGGTGTTTGGACTCGCGGCCTGATAGTTAAATGTCCAACGTCCCTTACCACTTAGCTGCGGCTGTTTCTGGCTCGTCTGTCGTCATCAGCCAGTCGTAGTCAACCATCAACTTTTGAAATAGCAACCTATTGACCAAAAGTCCATCGTCCGAACCACGGACTCATATCCCCGTCGCTGTTTACGTCCGCAACGCCATTCCGTCTTCCGGGCGATCGATTAGGAATACTGAAAACGGAAAAGTATTCGGCAATATTTCAGGTATTACCTGTAACTCAGCGGACTCAACCGTCGTCGAAGCCATGACCCAAGCTAACTGCAGAAAAGTTCGCTTAACACACAGAAAATGCTTTTTTTGATTGTACACGGGAATTCTGCCAAAATTTACTACTCGTTAGCTGGCCTTTCAACTGTCGAACTCACGGAAGCTTTGATTTTCGTGACGAAACACTTTTTGCTCTTATCCACCACCTCTCTAGCATCTCTGACAACAAGCCTTTGAAACGCAGTCAGACATTACGCACCTAAGCATTTTCCATACTGCACGCAACGGTAGTGCTCGGAGAGCATTAACTGCACATATATATATTAAAAAAAAGTACTTATTTAAAGTGTTACGGTGATTTTGTTGCTTAATTTACACAGTTATTTGCGTGAACAGACTAAATATTTTAGATGCTTGCGTTTACTCAACTTGCACGAAATTTCTTAAGCATACTTTTAGTCGCAACTGTGGTAAACAAACCCCAGCCACCTGTAATACTGGACCGATGGTAATAGGGCTTTTAATGGGTGGGGCTGGGGAAGGCAAAGGCGACGAGGTCAAGTAGTTCTTTGCAAAAGAAAAGCTATTGGGAATGCGCGGTTGTACTTTTGGTGTTTGAAAAATAGTCACCCTAATTCCTTACCCTTACCCCAACACCTAACTCTTACCCCCAGCTTTAGCCCCTGACCCCAACCCCAACAGTACTGTATCCATCAGGTGGGATTACAGAACCATATCTGACGTATAGACCATCTATTTTGCCTTCTCACTCAACACAACATCGCGCAATTTTAGTTTGGTATTTCGATGAATGCATTTTGAATGGCCTCCGATTGGCTAAAGACTATTCGTCAATTTAAGCATATTTCATGTGGTAGATCGTCTACTGTAGCTCGACACGTCTGGGAAAGTAACGTGGTTATTGCAGTGACTCGTTGCGGGGATCACCCACAGTTTTACACTCCTAACAACCACTACTACTTAAAAGAGTGGCAGTAGCATTTAATACAGGGAAAATGTGCAATTTGCAGTTCTGAAGAAAGAATAAAACAAACGGGTGCAGGTACATAGAGAGGAAAACAACAACAAAGAGGAAAAGAAGAAAAAACAGTGACAGGGGTCCACGGTTGTCCTACGTTTCTTCGTTTCCTTTTGTTTTCTGTTAAAAAAGACAAAATATAGGTGAGAGGATCTGATCGATTGTGGACGAGAAACCAACGGCGTAATAACTGGGTAATAGAACTTGCCGACTCACTCTACGCCGTCCGTTTTGTGGCAACAAACCAACCTAGGGTGGCGCATAGTTCACATTGAAAATTAGGTGAACAAGTTTTTGCTCATTTACAGTGGTGTTGAGTCCATGGCAGTCTGCCCCGACGACTGCCTTCGCGGCAGCCTACTCGTGTGAACTCGTGGCCAATCGAAGTTGCGTTCTTCTCTGATTGGCTGCGACTGAGTACAGCTAAGGCGCACGTGCGCACGCAGTGGATGTTATTAATTTCAACAGTCGACATACGCATTGGATGACGGTTTAACAAAACTGTTCGCCGAGCCGCTTTTACGTGTTCTAGCTTCAATAGCGTTTGTCCATCTAACTGTTGTTCCTGTTTCGTGTTTTCGGAACCATTAAGTGGCCAACCACTCGGGCTTCGACAAGACCTATCCTAGCCTAGATGGAGAACAGTCGTTACACGGAACTGATTCGACTACCGGAAAATCAATAAGCCAGTATGAACCACCCCCCCCCCTGCCCACCAGTGACTATGTGGAAAAGAGCACCTTTCAGACACCAGCGACCTGCTTTAGGGCTGCCGGAATAGGAAACAAACATGACAAGAGTGGTAGATCTATACGCTAATTGCTGTACGCCGTACAGACGACATTAATGTGCTCATTTTTTTCCAAAAATCGCGAGAGCCAAGGAGAGGTCAGATTGCGGTTTTGAAACTTTGTGCTGACTGACGGATTGCTACGCTATGTGAGGCTTATGTCCAGAAAGCATAAGCCAACTCTTGTTCCGTAGTATATTGGCTGTCGGCCAGACTTGCCCACATAAATCGGTGTTAGTTTCGCGCACCGAAAGTGGCTAATTAATAAGTGTATATTCTTGCGTCGATTTTAGCGATCGAGGCTCATAGAGCTCAGAACCCTACACGCACGTTCGTGCACCATTTGGACTTCTTCGGACACACGCGTAATCAGAAAGGCGGTACTAACCCCAATGTCGACACACCTAACACATCAGACAACTTTCCCATCACCAGTCCAATCAACTCCATATCCACCAGCGCAACTGCCGCTAGCAGTACCACAGTGGTAACCAACTCAACATCCTCCAACCTATCCTGCACACACTGCAACCGCAAATAAACCCCACTCACCGGCCTGGTCGGTCATTTGCGACACCATCGCACAGAGACTGGCGAACCAATGTCTAGAACACAAACACATACCTAACACAGTCGTCGCAACCGGCCGTGTCGGTCTTGCGTGGGTCCCTTCAGTCACATGCGTCTACATGAAAAAAACGGCGGCAAAGCATTGCAGACACAAGCGCATAACCATAAATTCTTCCAGAACGCCAAAATTCTGGGTCGAGGCAATGACCGCGTAGCCAGGGAAACGATCGAGGCCTGGCACACGGAGACAACCTCAATAAACCGTTGTGTCTCCCTTCCGACAGCCTACCAAGCCCTCCGGACGCAGCTCAACGAACTAAAGAGCAAGCGGGAAGTCAGGCCGGACGTGAATCCAAACACGGGAGAGCCTACGACGGACCTACACGTAGCCACACCGCAAATCGGGCCCGACGAAGGCGCAGTCATCAATACTGTTGCCTCAACTGCTACTCCGGCAGACGGGGAGAAACGCGGTCAGAGGGATGCAATCAAGACTAGCAACCCAGCACGACAATTAAGGTCAACGCGAATGCGGGCAATGGCCACCAACGTTCAAATGCCGCCCTCCGACGAGTGACAGGCAGATTGACAGCAGTCACCCTCCCTCCCGCTCTGTCCCGGCGACTACAGAGACGATCCCTGTGCGTATGCGGGCCATTAGCGCCAAAGCCGATTAACCACCTTCTCCCCTCTATAATTACCTCCGTGTTAGCATGACTGATATCTATTCCCATACTATAAATACTGTGTGATGCCGTACGATACTCACCTCCGACGATGAAAGCTTGTCTGCTTTTGAAACGTCAGGACAATACAATCATGGTTCCCGAGATCGCCTCTTCTTCTCATTTATGTCCGGGGACTCGAATCTTCGCTTCTATTAGCAATATTTTCGGGCGCGAAGCGCTTGTGTCAGCACGACGTTGGGAAACCTTTACCCTTCGTGTGTCATCTACGTACGCGCAAATTCAATTCCTCCACAGATGCCTTGACAATCATGTGCTTCCGAAGAGCCTGTCTTACAAGCCACCGGTAAACACAAGTCTGGCGAAACGATGGGTGATGCAACACGGCAGGCGAATGATCCGGGCGCTCCTTCAGGACTGCCATCTTCGACTGCGGAAATATAAAGGGGTTCTGAGCCAAGCGATCGCTAAATGCACTGATCTCATCGGCGAAGACGGAACTATGCTGTTGAAACAGGCGATTGATAAACGGGCCAGAGAACTACGAGCACAACGAGATATCGAGCTGGCAGAAGAGCTTCGAAATATCAGCCGCACGTTTCAGGAGGAGAACGACGTCCTAGTCCACAATCTATCCTCCAAAGAGCTGACTCCTGAACAACTAAAAGTGCTGAGTCACGAGGCCTGCTTCAATACCACAGACGCCGATCCGGTCAACCTCGTGGCAACAGTGGAATCGAGTTTCAAACAAACCGAGGAATCCGACGAAACAAAACACCTTGTTCGGCAACAGGTAACCGCCTTGGTGATGGCCCACAAACCACGCGCAAATATCACCAGAACGGAACAGGATGCCCTCAAGAAACTGAGGGCCGACACGAGCATTGTAGTACTGCCAGCAGACAAAGGACGTTCTACAGTTGTCTTGGACAAGGCCGACTACATTCAGAAGGCTAACACCCTGCTGGATGATCGACAGGCCTACCTCCAATGTGATGATGAGCCGATGAGGAAGCTGCTGACGCAGTTGGACAAAACGCTCGCTGAAATGCAAACGAACAAAGTAATAAGCAAGTCAGTACGACTGGCCGTTAAACCAACAGATGCAGCCGCACCAAGGTTCTACGGACTACCCAGAGTGCACAAGGTCGATGTCCCCCTCCGACCAATCGTGTCACTTCGCGGCACTTCAACATTCAATCTGGCTAAATGGCTGTTCCGACACCTGAGGCCTCTCACCTCAGGCGCAACCACAACGGTCTGTTCAGCTACCCAGTTTCTGGAACGGCTCAGAGGGACGCGACTCACTGCAGACGAGGTCATGGTGTCATTTGACGTCACCTCTCTCTCTTCACTTCAATCCCGCAGGACCTGGCCATGGAAACGGTCAGCGAATTACTCGAGAGGCAGTATGACGAGACGGACAAGTCCGTGAAGCGGAGACATCTAGTCCAACTATTAAAGTTCTGCCTGAAGAAGTACTTCACCTTCGAGGGGACCATGTACGAACAAATTAAGGGGACGCCGATGGGATCGCCTCTCTCCGGCTTCATCGCTGAGGCAGTTCTGCAAAAACTAGAGAGCCTGGTTTTCACCACTCAAAAGCCAAAGTTTTGGACTCGGTACGTCGACGACACCTTCGTCATCATCAAGCGAGAAATGATCGAGGAATTTCACATCGTCCTGAATTCCGTCTTTCCTGACATCCAATTCACGATGGAGGCGGAAAACAACAACCAGCTGCCGTTTGTGGACGTTCTTGTCCATCGAAAGCCCAACGGGAACATAAAAACGACGTTGTACAGGAAGGCTACCAACACACGCCAAATCCTAACCTATCACAGTAAACACCCGTCACAAACGCAGCTGTGTGCAGACTCTCTACAGTACAGCAGAAACACTGCAGCGAACCGGATGACAGAAGGACAGAACTCCGCTATCTTCAGCGCCTTTTCATTTCCAACGGATACCCCCGTAACTTTATCGAGCGCAGCAGGCAGAATAAAAAGCGGAGGTTACGGAGAAAATTCCTCTCGGATAGGAGCTCTGTGTCAAAAATGCGTACAAAGCACAGGGGAATCTTGTTATGAGGTTACTCCTTGGGACGCGGCGTATTTTCCAGAAAGACTTACTGAATCGGGCCGCAGAAAATCCGAATTTATTCTATGGTTACATAAGAAGAAGCAAACGAAACAGAGATCCAATCCCGTTACTGAAAACTATTGACGACCTAGAACTCATTGAAGGCGGAGAAAAGGCAGAGCACCTTTCACAAATTTTAAGTCCATCTTTACGAAGGAGAGCACATTTCTCCCTTCCGACTGCGACATAGTGGACGGGCCAACAACCGTACACGTCTCTTTCGCCGAAGCTATTGTTCGCAAAGTACTGTTGAGCCTGGATGAGTCCAAATCACCTGGGCCGGATAACATACCGCCGAAATTGTTGAAGGAGCTTGCTGGAGAAGTATCTAAGCCGCTGTCCATGCTCTTCCAAGCTTCGTTCGAAGCAGGCTACTTGCCCGCCGATTGGAAATCCGCAAGGATCACGGTAATTTATAAAGACTGTAACAAGGTCTTAGCAAACAGCTACAGACCAATCATGCTTACTTCAATTTGCTGCAAAATTATGGAAAAAATAATTAAGCGGGAAATAATGCACTTCCTAGAAGAGCATAATCTGCTATGCGATGCCCAGCATGGATTTCGTGGAGGCAGATCATGCGTGACAAATCTACTTTATTGTTTAGATTGCTGGACCCGGGCAGTTGATGGCGGCAATGCAGTGCACGCAGTCTACGTCGACTTTAAGAAGGCATTCGACAGTGTACCACATCAGCGTCTCCTGTACAAATTAAGCCGGATAGGCATAAGGGGTAATCTCCTGAGGTGGACACGAAGTTTTTCGATCGGTCGCTCTCAAATCGTCCACGTCGGTGACAGGCAGTCGCCGGAGGTAGCGGTTGAAAGCGGTGTTCCGCAAGGCTCCGTTCTTGGCCCTACCTTATTCATTATATACTTCAACGACTGCGTCAGTGAACTGAATTGTGATGTCGCCATGTTCACTGATGATGTAAAACTTTGGAGCGTCATCCCAACTGAATTGGACGAAGAGCGCTTGCAGGCAGACCTGACCCGACTCTAGAAATTGTCACAGGACTGGCTTCTGCCGTTTAATGTGACTAAGTGCAATGTTTTGCGAGTCGGCAGGACCCGATCTCAAAGCCTGAGGGTTTACTACCTAAACGGCGTACCACTGCAGGAGGTAGACGCCCAGAAGGACTTGGGTGTGTGACTAACGGCTTCTCTAAAACCGTCGCTCCACTGCTCCAAGATAGCCAAGTCTGCGATGTCAGTCCTTTATCTTGTCAAGAGAGCTTTCTCTACCTTCGATGAGGACTGCTTCGTTAAAGTCTTTCGGACTTTCGCACGGCCACAGCTAGAGTTCGCTATTCAGGCATGGAAACCCTGGACCTCTAAAGATCTCAGCATCCTTGAGAAACGCCAAAGGCGGGCGACCAAACTAGTAAGTGGACAGGGTTCCCTACCCTATGAACCACGTTTTTCCAATCTCGGACTTTTTCCACTGAGTTACAGACAGCTAAGAGGCGACCTTATACAAACATTCCGTATACTGCGCGGCCACGACTGCTGTCTCATACCTGCTGATTTCTTTGAGTTAGCGACCACAATGAACCTCCGAGTTCATCCACTTAAAGTACGTGTGACTGACGCCCAGCTGGATATTCGGAAGTTCTTCTTTTCAAACAGAGTGATTGAGGTCTGGAATGCTCTGCCTACAAATGTCGTCATGTCCACCTCCGTCGAGGCTTTTAAACGCAAGTTGGACCAGTTTACCACCAAACGTCTAGCATTTCGTTCAAGCAATTTGTTAATGTTGTTATATTACTGCCTGTATTTCAGTAACGTTTGTTTTTTATTATTGTCCAATGTCTATTGAATGTGTGTTGGCATCTAATTCGTCTCCCTCAGAAACTGTGATAGCACCAACTATCCACAGACAGACTACTGTACAGCACACTTAGTAACGCTAATGTTTTTAACTCTTGGAACTATTCGTTTATCTGTCTGGCTCGAAAACTTTACCAATCTGAAGACACTCTGTAGCTGTTTGATGTTTCCATCCCAACTTTTTGATATAGTTCGCTTCCTTGTAACAAATAGGGAGTTCAAAGGTTCAACACCTATATTTCCCTCAAATAAACTGAACTGAACTGAACTGAACCCGCTGGTTAGAAGCCTAGCGTCCTAACCACTGAGTCACAGGCTCGTTGCCCAGCGCTCACCGCGAGTTTTGTCCACGGTTAGGGTTTTTATGGCTGATGTTTTTTGTAAGGGTTGGCGTTTATCGTGAGGCCACTTGTAGTATGGCCGTCCGCATTCCCGTTTCACAGTTAAAGATGAAACCGAATAAGATCAGAACTTACCAGTGATCGCAGTAGCTGTGAGATTCCTCCCTGGGATCTATTTCGAACGCCGTCTGTCAGGTGGCCAGCAGCGTCCTCTTCGACAGTACCTGTTCCAGGCATCATTTCGTCTTCTGTTTCCAATGCCTTTTTTTCCACAGCAGAGACGTTCTAAAACAAAAAGGGGGTACGCAGCAGTTCCAAGGGAGTGGATTTTGCCTTCAAAGCAGCTTGTCGATTATAAGGTGTCGAGCCAATTCTATGAGACCAGTTTCCACTGTCATGGATAGATAGATACAAAAAATGTTTTGCGTCAAGGTGTTTTAGGGATCATTTTAATCTATTAACAGCTTCCGTATCTACAGTTTGAAGGCAAATAAGGGATGTTACTTTTAGTGCATGTGAAGTCAAACGAGCTTTTACAAGAAAATTTTCCTAGCTGATGATTAATCATTCACAAAGCTCAGGTTTAAGGTAATCGTTTACAATGGTGGCGGGAAATTGAATAACTCATAGTCCGATTGCGGGAGTTGAACGAATGAAAACTGCGCAGTGGTCTCAGGTTTTTTCGTCCCTACATTCCGCTTCGTGTATCCTGAATCACTAACTATGTGTTTTAACGAAAACGGGACATCTGTGTTGAGTAGATGCGCCTTCTGGAAACCACCGACACCACCACCACCACCCTGATCTCATCCTTCCAATGTTAAATCTTAAAGACTCCATCTTACAGCCACCATGTTCTCGAGGAGAGCGGCCAGCCGATCGGGTCTTTTTGACTTGGCCTCCTCCACCGATTCGAGTTTTTCGGACATGGCGCGTATACGTTCCGTGACAGTCCTGATACAGTTCTCCAGTCTGATGAGTCGAGAAAAAGCTTGGTTCACTTCCTCCTTGCTGGCTGTTTTGTCTGCAAAAAACTTGGCCACCTGCTCAAAGGACTGGCCCAATTGTGCTTCCTGGTAATTCACCATATCCTGGATTATTTCCATCTAAAACCAAAGTTGACGAAAGTGCAGTTATCATTTCCGGTTGCGTCAATGAATTCAATTGGAAAAAAAGCTGACAGCGTAAGTGACGGCAGTTGATGGCATTCCAGCCATAGCTTAGGTATGTAGATTTTATCATATTTGCAAAGTTGAGAGATCCGGGAAGATTATTTGAGGAAGAAAATAGGCTCTCCGGAACGGGTTTATTTAACAGCTGACGTTTAAAATAGCTGGGTCGGCTCTTCATTGTTAAAGCGAAAAATGCACTTAATCGATCAGAAATTTAATTTAAAGTGGCATCTGGTGCTGGTCGGCCTTATGATGATCGAATTTCTCTCCTCTCGCGACTGTTACAACCCACCAGAGTAGACATAACCCATCGATCCTAAGCAACAATTCGACGTGGCCTGATGCAACCCAAGGACCCATTGCCACCCGCTGAAACCTCAGCAGTCATCTACAAAATAAATTGCAATGGGGGCGACTGCAACTATGTGGGCGAGACCGGGCGGAAATTGCAAACTCGACTTTAAGAAGGCATTCGACTCGGAGGTTAGACCCTAACTCTCAACGAGCAACACACGTTGGGGAAACAGGGCATACTTTTGACCTCCAGAGGGCTATCATCTTAGGCCAAGGTAACACAAAAGCAGAACGGCTTACTCTCGAGGCGTGTTTCTCCGATGCCCACTCTATCAACAGGCATCTGGACCTTCCTGCAGCATAAAAAGTCCTACGTCATCACAATAGTGGAACTCAGGACCAAACAACCACACCGGACTTAGGAAGGCCCTACGGAGATAGTCTGACGCTGAGTTTACTCGGTGAGGAAGAACAAGAACCGCCAAACCGATCGCCCGACAGAGGTTCACTCAGCTCCCCTCGACGGAATGGTGACTCACAAAGCACACAGGCAAAACGTCCGTCCACCATCTCCCAAGAGGCTGCGACAGCGAGAGGAGAGAAAAAATCGATCAGCATAAGGCCGGCCAACATAACATGCCACTTTAAATTAAATTAAGTGCATTTTTCGCTTTGACAATGAAGAGCCGACCCAGCTCTTTGAAACGTCAGCAGTTAAATAAACTTGTTCCGGAGAGCCTATTTTCTTCTTCAAACAGATTTTATCAACCAGCTATTGTCGAGAGGAAGTGATCAACCGGCTGGACTTTTGATATTTTGAATCACGCGTCCTCACTACTGAATATTCTGCATTTGGTTCCCACAAAGGCTGGCGCTGCAGATGCGGTGGACTACAACGGGTTGCAGACTGGTCCCACGCGTTCGTTTATCGGAGCGCAATGGGTCCACGAGAGCCCATGACTACTGTCCAACGTAAACGTCTCATCGGTTGCTGCGTCCAATCCCCTCGGCAGCTGACTGACAGTCGGCTGATGCACGAGGGAGTGGAAAGCGGGTGTGCCCGACATTAAAGAATCCACTCCCACAGCAAATCAGCGTATTTCTCACTGCGACATATATACAGTAAGTGGGCTAACTCATGAAATGCTGGCCGAAATTCCCAAATGCGTTTTCGTTTCGAAAACATTAGTTGGGTATGGTTGTAAAACCGATCATCATGCAGCGTAATTCTATAATAATTCAGTTACTATCGGATGTCGGCGTTCGAAAGGACTTCCTTCTGGCTGCATGCAAAAACTACATTCTGTAAAAAATGACTACTTAAATAGCATGCATTTTTTAAATGCATTTCGATTCCCTTAAAGATTTAATTATGTTTTATATAAAGCATGCATAAAAATATTCATTCTTTTGGTCATTCAATAGAAACTTACGTCTTAGTTCAGTGTTATACTCGAAGGAAGGGTATAATTTGGTTTTATAAAGCTTTTCCAATTCCCGAATAATTTTGAACCCGATCTGTCATCACACTTGCATTCAGAGTTCTAAAACTGCAAGCCGTATAATTTCCGAGTATGGAAAACCATACATTTCTTTACGGTATCAAGAGGAGACTATAGGGGGTTCATAAAATTAAACAGTAGATCTGAGTCCTATTGTTAACTTTACAAACCACCTTGGTAAATGCAGATACATGACGTTTTATGAAAGGCCATTTCACGGTATTGAAAAATCTCACAATTGGAAACTTTAAAAACCAAATTATACCCTTCCTTCGAGTGTAAATTTAAAAGAAAACGTAATTTGCTACTGAATGAGCAAAAGAATGAATATTTTTGTGCATGATTTCCATGAAATATAATTGAATCTTTAGGGGCCTCGAAAATCAATAAAAAAACGCATGCTACTAAAGTGGTCATTCTTTACGGAGTATGGTTTTTGGACGCAGTTGGAAAGAAGTTTTTTCGAAAACCGGTGTCCTCGGATAACTGAATTATTATAGAATTATGTTGCAGGCTGACTACTTTAACAACCCTACTTAATTAATCTTTTCGAAACGGAAACGCATTTCGGAATTTCTGTCGAGATTTGGTGAGTTAGCCCACCTTCTGCATGTGACCCATTTTAAAATACTACGACAAACTAAGAGTCATGGCTTCAATGGCTGCCAACTCGGTTGACCGAGAGTCACACTGCGGTAAATTCTTCACCCTTATGAGATTTCAACCGCTCGACAGAAGCCAGGATCAAGAATGGATCAGAATGGATCAAGTCCTATGCAACATCAGATCAAGTCCTATGCAACATCAGAATGGATCAAGTCCTATGCAACATCTGCAGACAGGCTGCTGGACGGTCTCAGCCAT